GGGAGTTGTGCTTGGGAGATACTTTTTCATGTTATTACAGAGACAGCGATGGAGTTAAGGCTATAATGCAGGGTCTCCTATAATCACACTCCTATTATGCTTTGAAAAAGGCTTTGCAAGCTTTTATTTTGTAAGTGAGCACTGCTGCCAGAGCAGTGTTTCTGGTGGTGAATCATGCACATGGTTTGGGAGGTTCGGTGCAATGTCTCAAGCATCCCTGTGTCATACTGTGTCTGTCCCAAGAACATAGCCCAAAATATAACCTCACTGAGGAAAGAAGCAGGGAGGGGTTCTGCCCTTTAATTTACCTGCCCAAGTCAGCAGCCCCATCCCCAAGGCTTCCTCTGTAGTCTGTGGAAAGGGAAAAGTCCCTCAAGAACACTATTCAATACTCTGTGTGAGGCTACAACTGCATTGCCCCCAGGAAGAGCTTTTCTTTCCTGAGAATTTGTGACATGAGAAAAACTGGCTTTGTACAACTTAGGACTTAAATCAGGTGTAAAGTACTCTGACTGTGAGAATTCTCTGCCCTCTGCCAGGTGCCTGGGAATGCATTTGGGGCATGAGGCTTTCTTTTAGGTGATGTCTCTGTGACAGAGGTCTCAAAAATCATGCATTCACATCCCTGTGCCATTTGCAAAGTTTGTGTATATGGCTGACATAAAGGTGATCTAAACCCCACAAACATTTGGATAGGTTTTTCAGATCTTGTGAACACAGTGTAGGCCTGGGCTTCAGCCCTGCTGGCTCCAATTCCAGCAGGGAACGCAGCAACCCTGGAAGGTACACTTGGCTTTCAGTATGCAGTGCAACTCAGCACTGGTTTGGGGGTTTATAGGTATACATGGAAAGTTGTTGAGAAATTTGAAGTAAAATTGCAGTGGGTGCTTTTGCTTTGTCTGTGTCTTGCTTGAGTCATGTAAAGCTGACAAAAGCCCTTAGGGGTTTTTTTTTTTAGATGCTTGTATAGTTTTGGTTGTGTGTTTTTCTTTTCACACCAGGCTTCGAGAAGGATGTGCCGTTGGTGGGTGATGGGAAGGTGGAAGAGAGATGTACAAAGCAACTGCTGTCTTCTGGCAGTCTCTGGCATTTTTCTTCTGCAGTCCTGCCTTAGAAAGCTGGCCAGATATGTTAAAGATATTGTAGAGTGTATTAGTTTAGTAAGGTTTAGCAGCAAATCATTGTGCAAGAATTAGCTTTCTTTGCATCTGGGGAAATTAATTCTGTGCACTGTGGTTGCTCCCACTTGAATAATGACACGCAAAATTTGGATTCCATGCAGGTGTCAGTTACAGTGAACTCTTGAGAGAGGTTGTGTCAGTAAGAGCAGTGGCATCAGTGACACTGCCAGCTTCTACATGTCCAGCCTGTGGTGACCATTGAGGAAATGCAAGCGGAGACTGAAAAATAGAATGAAAATGTTGAGCTCCACGCTCCTCTCGGTACAGCCTCCTCCAGATAAGCAGCTGTAATCTCTGCTCAGGGATCTGGCTTGGACAGCACTTTCACACTTGTCCATTCCTATGGTCATATCTGTTCCCTTTCTACTGGCAGCTGAAGGGAAGGCTCAGGCTCTGGAGGCTTCAAGCCACCTTTGCAGCACACTGGGCTCATCCAGGAGCAGATGTGTGTGACATGAGCTGGGCCTGGCTTTGATCTGCCTTTGGGATGAGGCATAAGGGCTTCCCTCTTCCTAGGGCAGTCCAGAGCCTCAATGACCCCCTCCTGCTTCAGCCAACTCCAGATGCTGGCACCAGCCTGTTTGAGCCCCAATTCTGACCAGAAAGTGCAGGCTCAAGGAACTGTACCTGAACAGAGGGCAGAATATTTGTTGTCATCCCCAGTTAAGGTCCTCTCTTCTTTGGAACTTGAACATCTGAAGCCCTGCTGGCTCCAATTCCAGCAGGGAACGCAGCAACCCTGGAAGGTACACTTGGCTTTCGGTATGCAGTGCAACTCAGCACTGGTTTGGGGGTTTATATGTATACATGGAAAGTTGTTGAGAAATTTGAAGTAAAATTGCAGTGGGTGCTTTTGCTTTGTCTGTGTCTTGCTTGAGTCATGTGAAGCTGACAAAAGCCCTTAGGGCTGATGCTTGTATAGTTTTGGTTGTGTGTTTTTCTTTTCACACCAGGCTTCGAGGAGGATGTGCCATTGGTGGGTGATGGGAAGGTGGAAGAGAGATGTACAAAGCAACTGCTGTCTTCTGGCAGTCTCTGGCATTTTTCTTCTGCAGTCCTGCCTTAGAAAGCTGGCCAGATATGTTAAAGACATTGTAGAGTGTATTAGTTTAGTAAGGTTTAGCAGCAAATCATTGTGCAAGAATTAGCTTTCTTTGCACCTGGGGAAATTAATTCTGTGCACTGTGGTTGCTCCCACTTGAATAATGACACGCAAAATTTGGATTCCATGCAGGTGTCAGTTACAGTGAACTCTTGAGAGAGGTTGTGTCAGTAAGGACAGTGGCGTCAGTGACACTGTCAGCTTCTACATGTCCAGCCTGTGGTGACCATCGAGGAAATGCAAGCGGAGACTGAAAAATAGAATGAAAATGTTGAGCTCCACGCTCCTCTCGGTACAGCCTCCTCCAGATAAGCAGCTGTAATCTCTGCTCAGGGATCTGGCTTGGACAGCACTTTCACACTTGTCCATTCCTATGGTCATATCTGTTCCCTTTCTACTGGCAGCTGAAGGGAAGGCTCAGGCTCTGGAGGCTTCAAGCCACCTTTGCAGCACACTGGGCTCATCCAGGAGCAGATGTGTGTGACATGAGCTGGGCCTGGCTTTGATCTGCCTTTGGGATGAGGCATAAGGGCTTCCCTCTTCCTAGGGCAGTCCAGAGCCTCAATGACCCCCTCCTGCTTCAGCCAACTCCAGATGCTGGCACCAGCCTGTTTGAGCCCCAATTCTGACCAGAAAGTGCAGGCTCAAGGAACTGTACCTGAACAGAGGGCAGAATATTTGTTGTCATCCCCAGTTAAGGTCCTCTCTTCTTTGGAACTTGAACATCTGATCAGACTGCAAAACTATGTCTGTAAAAGCACAGCTCTTCTCTGAAAGAGACTGCAAGTGTTTCATGCTTGTCTCTCAGGGACTTGGTGGCAACTGTGCGTGGCTTGCAAGTAGAAAGAAACTTTTTTTTTTCCCCCTAACTGCCTCTCCTCCAGATGCAGCCTGAACTCAGAGACCTGAGCTGTAGTCTTTCCATCACCCTCTGATCAGAGGGTTTGATAGAAAAGCTGAGTGTGCAGCAGCACCTGTGAGCTGGGGCCCAACTGTGTGCACAAAGGGGCATCCAGGGAGTTCTCTTCATAGGGCTGCTCATGCATGAGCTGGAGCTGAGCCCAGCTGCTGCCCTCCAGCATTATTTTGAACAATAAAGTCACTCTCTTCTATGTGGTGCAGCTGTGCCCTTACTTAGTGCTGCCTTTAGTGCCTCAGGTAGAGCCTGCTGGAGGGACCTGGGGACTCAGCAGTGCTCAAGGCCGATGGGGCAAAGAGCTCTTTATGCTTGCTGTTGTTATCTTTCATTTAGCAGGTGGAAAAGAAGAAGCAAAACAGGTAAAGTGAAGAGTTGCAAAAAAAAAAAAAATTCTCAGGTGATGGTTTAGCAGAGAAGGTAGAAATGCATGATTCATATAGATACTCCTGCTTTCCTAAGCAATAAATGATGCTGCTTTCCTAACTGCACTATTCTCAGCTGTCTATTTTGTGATAAGAACTACTGACAAAAGAGGATTCAGCCAGCACTGCTGGCCTCTGTCCGCCTGAGCTCAGCCTCCTCATCCCCTCCCATCTTCTTGAGCCCTTCCTTGTGTGCAAGAAGGAAAGGAAAGGCAAGGTCTGGAGGTGGACCTTACCTTGCTGTAAGTGGACTGAGCTCAGATCCTTGGCTAGGCTCTGAGTCCACACACAACCAAAACTTCAGTGACCCCCACCTCTCCTAATGTGCCTGGGATTCAGGTTTCTGCTGAGGTTCTGGTTAAGGTCTCCTTTCCTCTTCCTTCTTTGGGATGTGAGGGTGTCCAGGCTCGCAGTCAGACCTCCGCCTTCTCTGGCAGACATGCCAGAGGAGAAACCTCAAGCAGAAGCAAGGAAGGTCACTGGTGTCCTGTGTACTCTTAACAGCTTGTGATTTTGGTTATTTCTTAGAGCAAACATTATGGATCAGAGCTCATTCCAACCACAGCAGGCACAAAGCAGAGCTTGGGGCCTGGGAGGAGGCTGGCAAGCCTGCTGATTCAAACTTCCAGCAAACAAGCCAGTGCTCAAGATCCTGTCAAACCCTAGGTCTAAGGCTTGTGTTGTCCTGTAGAAACCAGTGAGCCTCATGTAGCACCAAGGGCTGAGTGCACTGAATGGGGTCAGGCCATCTCTCCAGACAGTGCCTGTTCAATCAGTGGCTAAGAACAAACTCTTGAGGACCAGCTCCAGAGTCAGACTTATTTGTACCCTGGGACTTGCGCTCTCAAGCATCCTCATGTAAGGCTCTGTTAGCTGTAGAGTTTGATCTCAGGATTAGCTTTGGTATTTGACAGTATAGGAGCTCCAAAGGAAGCTTTGCCCTTGGCTGGTACATTTATAACTCACCACCACCACTTTATCTCCCACCCTCCTTCCTCTTTGGAGGAAGCCTCCAAAGAGTGGAGTTTAGAGAGCTGCAGACATTGTCTTTTTTGATTCAGATTAAACAGGGAAAGGTAGATGCAGGTACCAGCATAGTCTGTGCCTGGAGCAACTCAGTTCCTTTGGACAAAAGCTTCAGAAAGCTGAGGAATAGGCCAGGTAAAAGAATGGTTCTAGAATATTTATAGAGCACAGTTATGCTCCCAAATGTGTACTGGGTCCTGAACTCTTGCAGCTGATGAAAACAATTAGCAAGCTGCCATGCCTGATTCTTTCTCATTTCAGCCTTGCAGGTAGAGGAGAAGCCATAACAAGATAAAGCAAAGAAGAGGAGCAAGTTTTCTTTCCCAGTCCAGGAAAAATAACCTGTTGGATTATAATCTGCTAACAGTGGAGAGTGCCAACATGAGCAGCGAGGGGGCAGAGAATCCCATCTCATCCACACTGACCCAGGGCGTGAAGAGAAAGAGGGGGAGACCAAAGAAGCAGCCACAGGTGAGAGAACATCATCCCAAGAGGATGCCTGAGGATGCCATGGCAGTAGCCCGATGGGATCTGCAGGCAGCCCTGGGAAGCTGCTTGCCAACAAGGACAAGGGGAGGAGAGGTGTTCTGGGGTAAATGCTGCGGCTACCCAGGACAGCAGCAGGATCTGCACCCTGGGAGATCTTGGCTCCTGGCCTCAGAGGCACCTCTGATGTGACTGGCAGTGACAGTTCAGCCAGGACATGTGTGAGAGGGGCTGGACAGGTCTCTGTTCTAGCCTGAAGACATTCATGTGTCATCACCCTCTGTTTCTGCACCAGTAATTGGACAGAACAGGCAAGGCCCCTTGGCCAGAGCTCTTGGAACTTAGTCATTTCCCCAGCCCAAAAGACAAAGAGGTGGGAGTATTGCTGAGCATCTTCTAATGCACTTCACAGCTGGAAAAGCAGAGACAACCAGCTGTTTAGGGGTATGGATGCTCTTAGTGGGGTAAGACAGTCCAAGACCAACCAGAATGAGAGAACGTAAATTGTTTTAGGGATCATCCTGCTTAAATGGTTTTCTCCTTTTATCCCAGGAGGATGGTGGAAACACAGCTATTATCCCACAGGATGCTGTGGAACCACAGCCAGTGAAGAAACCACGAGGAAGGCCAAAAGGAAGCAAGAAAACGACTGTTCTAAGTGGGGGAATGGTGAGAGGAAATGGCTTATACTCATTTACAGAGGAGAGAAGCACTGCCAGAGAGACAAGCAGGATGTTTCTCTTACCTTAAAGATAGTGAAAGTTGCCGCTAATTCAGTTCAGCTTTAATTACCACCGTTGGACAAATCAGTTATTGTGGTTTTAGTCCTTACTCACCTCCCAGCCTTCCTGTGTTGCTACTGCCTGTTCAGCAGTTTCCTCCCAGTGTTTCTCTTCCACCACTGCCAAATAATCACAACCAGTGCAGTCAGGCAGGTGTTTCCTCCTCAACTGTCTTCTATCCCCAGCTTTTGCTTTTTCTGCTGCTTGTGAGACAAGACCTTTATAGAAAGATCACCTTGGCCGTGTTCAGTGGTTTAGTCACAATGCCCTGCAAATCTGAGACCTGACAATATTTCCCCCCCTTTGTTTTCAATAAAGGCAGAACCTTCTGCTGGGAAGAGGCGAAGAGGGAGGCCCCGCAAATGGGTGAGTATGGTGTTCAGTCTTTTCCCTCTTCTCCAGTCACAGATCCTGGGGAACATGCAGATGTGTTTGCCCTTCTCAGACTTTGTGTCTGCCAGAACGTTCTTTCAGCCTTGGTAGCCTGGAAATAATTAGGGAAGCTCTGACTGCCTTCCTGATGGCCTCCAAGCTTCAACTACTGAAGAATTCTGAGAGCCCAGGGGAGATACTGTACTTAATTCAAGACATACCAGACTTCCACAGTATAGCACTTTCTCAGGCTTGGAATGTCAGACCAGAGATTCCATCCTTTCTTACAGAGAGGGGTTGTCTTCCCAGGAGACTTGAAAGACTGAAGTGATTGCTTAGCATGTCAGTTTGTCTCAAAAGAAGAAACTTAAAATTAAGGTAAAAGAGAAATTTGATGAATGGAGAAATTTTGAGTCCTACCAGCAGGAGACTCTTTTATGCAGCAAACAAAGGATTAGTAAGAATCAGTAGCTAAGAAGAAAACATTTCAGATGTAAAAACAAGACAAAAGCTTTTAATCAATAAGGATATTCAGTCCTGTGAACTATTAATGGTATGTTAGCTGTCATTAGGAGTGATTAATAATCCCCACAACAGCCACAAACCATTATTTAGTGTACATCACAAAAATTGCTAGATCCAAACCCAAGCTTTGCACTTGCTGCAGGAATCCATAGGTTTGTTGTACAGCTGTGGTGGCACAGGAGTGCTCAGGAGGGAAAGGAACACTTCTGGTTCAGCAGAACCGGAGGGACAGAGCAGCCTGTGAGGGCCATGCAGAAGGCTTGGGGGGAAATGTTCACCAGCAAGGAAGTACCAGGAGATGGGAAAGAACAGAAGTCTTTTCTAATGTGACAGTGACCTTGCATGCAGATATTTCCTGGATAGTGGGAAGCTGTTTGCAAACCCCGTGCAGAACATCCCAGACAAGGGAACTGTTGCATAAATTTGTTCCTTCTCTGCAGTCCAGGTGAGAAGGTAACAGTAGTTCAGCACACTGCTCTTGCTCAATGCCCATTGCTTTCCCTAAGCCCATTTATCTTATGTCATTTAAATACACTGATTGGGGAAGCCTGTGTTACCAGTGCTTAAAGCAACCAGCTGTGCTAACTGGGATCCTCAAGCTCTGTGGCAAATCATCAGAGGCAGAAGTGGCCATGTCTTACAGAACAAAACCTTACCCAGTGAGTTCTGCTGGTGTCATTTCTGGACTGACAAATCTCAAAGACAAGCAGGAGTTTTTAATGTTTCAAAATGTGTTATATTAACTTTGGTTAGTGAAGGATTCTGATGTTTCAGTTCAGAATTAAACAGCTAAAGAATTTTTGGGGGCAAAACCAAAGCAGAAGAAAAAGAACAATCATTTTGGTATTAACTGTCAATAGACAAAATGTTTAGCTGGTGAAGAACAGGGACAGAACCTGAAATATAGAAAATATTCTTGATAAAAAAAGATTTCCACAGCCACATAATGGGCAGATTTTTTTCAAAGTATTGGGCTGTGTCTCACAAGGCTGATATTGGGATGATTTATTATGGATTCTGACAAGTATTCAGAGACTTGTGGATGTGTGTGGACACTGCATGCCCTGGTGTGTGTTCTTGCCTATGGTTGGATATAGGAGTTAGTGGCATGTGCTCTCAGGGCTGCACAGTCTTGTTTAAATAATAACCCACCTACTCTGCATATTTGCAATTTTGTCTTTTGATACCTAATTTTGCATGGGGGGGCTTGTTTCTTTTTGGTGTTTTTTCTCTGTAGCCTCAAGCAGTGGTCCAAGAAGGAGAGTCTCAGGGAGAAGATCCTCTGGAAAGCAGTGACTTGAATTTGAACTCGGCACCAGCCACACAAGGTTTGAAATTAGATAATCATAATTACATGAGACTAAACAGTAGAGCCACACTCTGGCAAACCATGCACTTACCCACAGAGCTCTAGCACTGGCTGTACTCTTCCTGGTAAATCCTATAAACAGAGGAGCATTTGGAAGGCTTCCAGGCACATTCCTTCCATCTAATTCAGTTGTGAGTACTTCAGCAGAAGTGGAGGTAGAAAAAAAGAAAAGCAAGAAAATCTTTCTGTCTTTCCAAGAAGTCACACATCTGAGATTCTGGTCACTGCTGCAGGTACAGCTCAGTGAAATTGTCTGACAGGTGTGTAAAAAGTGAAAATAGTCTATTGTTAATGTCTTGCTTTAGTTGAAAAACTTTATGAATAGAAGATCTCTTGGTATTTGGGACATTTTAATACTCTGGATTAACTCGAGAATGGTTCCTGGATGGTCTTCCTCTCTCCTTCCTGGCTTGTACTGTGAGGCAGAGCTCTCTGGCAGTGGCTGGCACAGAATGATGACAGTGGCCAGTTTCAGTGGAAGGCTCCAATTTATCTAAGGTTCTCTGAGATGAGATGCCAGATAACTTGTACTGCTGTTGTAGGAATGTACAGATGCACCACCCAGAGCCCCAACCTCTGAACCCTGCAAAAATAAAATCTGAGTTTATACTATTCGGGACTGTTTCTGGGGTAGATTCCAGGAAAACTTGTGTGCATCTCGGTCCTGTCCTCAGTGGGCCTCGTAGGAAGCTCTTCATGAAGTGTTTTCCCTGGGGGGAGAAGGGGCCAGGAGCCCAGGGCAGGCAGATGTTGCCTGATTTGCCTTGTGGCAGCACAACTGCTCCCTCCTGCCTCTGGTGTGCGAAGCGACGCTGGACAGCCCAGCCCGGGTTCTTAGAAAGTCCCTGGAAATGCCACATGAATAAATGCCAGGAGTTTACCTCAGTTGCTCAATTCAGTTTCCTCTGGGGCTCCTGCTCCCGTATCACTTCCTGCCACGGAGCTTTGCGCTGACATCAGCGGAGCCGCAGGCTCGCAGGGGATGAGCTCACCTCCGGCCCGGCCCGGCCGCCTTTGGGGCAGTTAAACATCGCCCCAAACCACAGCCAGTGTAGCTCCTTTCTTCTTCCTTTCAGTCTGAGTGGGGCCCGCGGCAGTGGCAGGAGGAACCCGTTTCCCTGCTGCCGCAGGGAGGTGGCAGCAGATGTGACGGGATCAGCGGATGCTGCGGTTGCTGGGACAGGGCCGTGCGGAGCGTGATAGTGCAGCCCCAGGCGCTGCGCTCGCCCCGTGCCGGGCACGGACAGGGACTTCTGCTCCTGGGCAACGTCTGCACTTGTGTGAGAACAAAAAACGGCCAGAAATCAGTGGGGATAAGCGTGTACAGTGTGAAACCAGGCAATCCTCTGGAAAAAGTCTTAAGTTGTTACTTGCTCAGGCGCTTGAGATGGAGTGGTAATCCTGGCTTAAAACTTCTGCCTGGAAAGGAAAAGCGGAAGCATGCTCTTGTGGCTTATTGGAAACTGTAGGACCTGGGGCTCGTTCGCAAGCCCAGTGCAGCTGTAGCAGCTTGCAGACAGGCAGCTTCTGGATTAACCCATTCTGTGGGTCTGAGTTTAACTGGGGCATTATATGCCTGTAAGTTTTTGTGCTACTCAATGCAGGAGGCTGCTGCTCTGAGACTTGTTAGCAGGAGTCTGTGATCACATAATGATCTGCTATAGACACAGCCAGAGCTTTGGCCATTGAGGGCTTTGGTAGGCTTTTACCCCTTCCAGATGAGGATTTTTGAGGTGTTGCACCAGGGAGGGGATGGGAGGGTACAAATGCTTGCCCATCCTGCAGGTTGTATACTGCACAACTCTGGGTGGGAGAGATCTGCCCTGGGCTTCATGTCTGCAGCATTCAGATGAATTGCTGAAATAAACTCTGACTCTGTCTCAGTCGGTTACGGAGAAAATCAAGATATGCAACAAGAGCTGCATTAGAAATATGCAAGATTTGCAAGCCTCTAGTGGGGCAGAGAGCTGCTTTAAAGCCAGCTGGTTTTTATTCCCATGGCCTTTGCCTGGGGATCTGGCTCTGCCTTTCCCAAGGCACTGGTTATCCAAGAGCAGGCAGGAGTTTGTTCATGGATCAGGCTCAGTTGTGTTGCTACCTGTAGATGCTACCAATCACAACTCCAGCATTAACATTTCTGGTTTTCTGGGTCAAGAAGCATTTGGGTTTTTTTCTGTGAGTACCATTACTGAAGGATTGATGAATTTCATTTCACAGGCTCTTAAGCCACAATGGCAGATGTGGTTTGGTTTGTCTGAGTAACTCTGCTTGGCTAATGGACTGTAGGTGTGAGGGAGAAAGAGGTTGCTTTGTGGTAGAATTTCCAAGAGCTAGTGCAAAGCCCATAAGCAGCCTTGGGATCTTGCTCCTTTTTGTCTATCTTGCTATCCTTGCATTCTTTTTCATACAAACTTTGTCTGCTTTGTTTCCTCTGCTGCCCCAATGGTCACTTCAGCTCTCCTGAAAGCCAAGGGTGAGGCACAGATCGCAGCAAGCCTGTGTCTCCAGAAGCATTCCCCACTCACAGCATTTCCAGACATTCTGCACATCTACTTCCCTGGTGTTTAATATAGGGTAGGGCACTTCAGGTACTTGGTGTCTCATGAGGGTTCAAGGAAATACATAATTGCTGTCAGCAGAGGTGGTTGATGAGTGTTTGCAGAGCAGAAACCAGTCAATTTGACCAGACTGTCACTTCTGGGCCCTCAGTAGCCTCATGCTGAGCCCTGCTGCCAGGGAAGCCATTTGTGTCAGGAGCTCCATTTAGCCTGGAGCTGGTACAAGAGCAATGGGAATGTTGTGAAGACCTTTGGTTGTTGGGGAGTGGATCCTTGTCACCTCTCAACCTTGTCAGAGGTACTCTGTAAGGGGTACTGGGCAACAGGGCTCCTGGACCCAAAGATCTAACCCTCTGTCTCCTGTGATCTTTCCTTTAGACATCACTGGAAAAGACGGCTCCAGGTCTGCCAAAACCACTGGTCTTAGGAGATGTCTGAGTCACATCCCTGCTGCAGCTCAGTAGTGTCCCACCTGTTTGTGTCTTGCTGAAGCCAGAGGAGTGGAAAGCAAACAGGACTTTTAATGTTGTATTTCACATTCTTCATTTGTGATAATTTTAGCCCAGCTCTCTCCTGTTGCCTGTGGACTTGCTTACCCCAAACATCCAAACAAGGATTTAGGGGAAGAAATGGCAAATTGCCTTGTTGGAGAGAAGCCTTTTACAGTTTGTAGTATATCTTCTGTGAGTATAATAATTTCTCTTTAAAATACTTTGATAACCCGGTGCCTTGCCCTGCCACAGAGAGCAGTATTTCAGCAGAAGTTGACTCAGCAATACAGATACAGGAAAGGAAATCTATGTACACAGCTAATGGCTGAGCTTGTCTGCCATATCACCTCTGGCAGACTGATGGAGCAGTGCCAAGAGTTAAGTTTTGCTGTGTTGCCCGTAGGGACTGTATCTGAAAGACAGCCTTTGAGTCCTTTCTTGACTATTTCAGAACAAAAACCCTTCATGGCATTTCCAGCTTGCCCGGCATTGCTGTTCCAGTGGCCCATAACTTGCATGCTTTAGGGGAAAGTTTGCACCCCAATGTCTTAGGGATTGATTCTGAAATTTTTATCTTAATGTGATCAGCTCAGGGCCTTCTCCTACAACTTCTTCTGGCCTGGTGGCTTTCCTCCTGAGTTTGATAGCAGCTCCAATTGCACAGTGCTTACAAGCTTAGTCACAGCCACTGGATTTCATCTCTTCAAAGGAGTGTCTGTAAAGAAGCAGTTATACAAAAGTTGCTTCCTTGCAGAGCCTCGGGATTCAATTTAAATTAGTTTAAATTCAGTCCCTAACATGCGTGTGTGGGGTCCTCTAGTGTCACAACTATGCAAACAAAAGCTGCTGGTAGTTCAGTTTGGGGAGACAGCAGTAGCCAGTTGGTTTGAGATTGTTGCTGGCTGCTCTCAGTTTTACACTGTTTGCAGATTTGTGCTTTTGGTTTCAGAGTTGTTAAATTCTGAGAAATTGAGGGTATTACCAATATCCAGTTGCAAATAGTGAAATCCCGGTGGTATTTTCCGTCTCCTGGATGTTCTGCCTGCCTATTAAAGGGACAAAGTGGGTATTTCAATTATCTCTGTCAGGATGTAAAATTGGCTAGCTTTACAGTGTTAAATATTTAAACAGAACATAATTGGCTTTAAATTTATGGTGGTGCATAGCAGAAACCCATGAAATGGCTGTATATATTGAACTCATTTATTATCTTTTCATCAGAGTTCTGTTCCCTTGGCAAGTATTTATTTAACACAAGAAAATGTATGCAGAATTAAGAAGGGCTGAATGCAGAGATAATAGGGGGAAAAGTGTTTTTTTTTTTACTTTTGGGTCATTTTGTCCAGTCCATCTAGTTTAGTACTGATGAGTCCTGATCCCATTAATTCTGCTTAGTAGTGATGAGTCCCAGTCCTAATTCTGTGTGGTATCTGGTTTGCCCTAAGGGTATTCTCTTGTGTATGGAGCTTGGTGGTCACAACACAAAACTGCATCACAGATAATCTTTGTGCCTCCACTAACAAATAGCAGAGAAATCGTGGAGTAAATGGATTAGATCACAGGGACTGACCTAAATCCTGTGCTATAGGATGAGATGTGCTGCCAGATACAAGGAGTTTGACCCCCAGCTTCTGCTGTGGGGATTACTCTGGGTGGACATGACACAAGTGAATCTCTGCTGTTGATGGTTACATGAGAAGGTGCAGCTGATGCTCCCCGAATTCTGCTGCTCTTCAGTGCACTCACAAGTTCAGCTGCAGTTCATACCTGCATTCAAAGGCTACTCCAGTAGCAGACCAATATATTTTACCAACTTCTGTGCCTGATTTTCAGTTGATTTGGCAGGTTCAGTACTCTGTTTGCAAGGCTATACTGCCTATTTAATTAACCCCTGCTACCTGAGAGCAGTAGCTGTTTCAGTGTGAGACTGTAACTTCATCTTCTAAATGGATTAGGGATTACATCTGTAAGAGACTCAGGCTTTTCCTGTGACATCAGTCAGTCCTTTCTCAGCTGGTGGCATGGAACAGGGGTGCACACTGCCTTGGCTAGATAGTGAATCCATCTGCTTTAGGTCAGTAGTATTGCTCTGGGAAGTGCCTGCAAAGTACTCTTAAAATTAAAAAAAAAAAAAAAAAACTTAAAAAATCTAGTCTTTGCTACCTCTTACCACTCTGCTAAAAAAAAAAACAAAAACCCCACAGTAAAGAAGTTGTTTCCATAAAAATGCAGGTGCTGGAGGAGAACAAACAGAATTCTACTCTTTTAGGAGCTCTTCTGTGTGTAGGTGAAAGCCCAGTCCATAACTTCAGCTTCCATGTTTACACAGAGAATTAGAATGGAAATCAATGCCTATGAAAGGTGGGCAGAGTTCCAGACATCTGCAGGGAGCTGGGATTTCACACTGGATCACTTGGATTTTCTTTTTTAAAATGACAAACATTTTTATTTCCCATATAGTTAATTACCTTTTCTGGGCAGACAAACCTACCTCTAAGCAAGTGCATGTCAAGTGTTTTTAAGCTCAGGCAATTTTGGTCTGACTTGGCCAAAAATAAGAGGTCATTACAGTTGGTTAAACCACAGGAGGTGAGGTGAAGTTTGTTGTCTAGCAAAGTTTGGAAGTTTCCCATAAATGGTTTTGGTGAAGGCATAGAGAGTGTTGGCAACTTGCAAATTAGCCTTGAAGTTTGTTAAATAAAGGTCTTAAACAAATACCCCTCAGGCTCCTGCTTTGCCTCCTCCTTGTGCAGCACCCTCAGCACACACAGACACATCGCTGGATAAGGCGAGTGTCTCTTGACCTGGACTTTTGGGGATTATAAACAAAACTTTGGTTGTTCAGGAGCAGCCCCAGATGGATGTGAAAACAAGAAATAATAAGCATGAGGAATCACACATGGAGAAAATCATTCAACCTCCTAAGCCCAAATGTGGGTGCCTAATTCCATGCTTTTGTGTGTCTTGGAGGCTTGATTGGAACACAAGCCAGTTCTGCTTCACATGCACACACCCAGAAGTCTCCACAGTCGAGTCTTTTTCTCCCCCACATTGTTCTGTGGGCTATACAGCTATTTAGCTTTAAATAAAATTAATTCTCTGCCTGTGCACTGCCTCTTGAGTTCATCTGACAGCTTTCCTAACTAGTCCCAAGTTTTGGGGCTGTGGGCCAGATGAGGCAGGAGCAATTCTGAAATATATCAGCAATGTCATCATGTTCTGTTCCCCTCGGTGTGGGCAGAGCTGCAGGTGAGCTGATGAACCCCTGGTTTGCACAGGAATTCAGCTTAAGGGTAAGTTGGGATTTCTTTTTGTACTCTGGATACCCAGGACTGGCAGCTGGAAGCTCCTGACTTCTCCAGCAAGCCTTTCTGAAGAGATCCAAGTTTTTCTGTTCTGTAGAACACTAAACTTTGACCCCCACAGAGCTTCCTCTTCCAGGTTTTTCACAGAGTTTAGTTTTTGAAAGAGCAGGGGAATTCACTGCACGCAAATTACCAGCAGATACTGGGGTAACACTCCAGCAGTTTCTGTGGGAAATTGCAAATGACAGGGGAAAAAGACAATCACACTAGATTTCATGTAAATAGTTTTAATTATATTTCAATGCTTTAAAACACAGAAACACTTGAATTAAATTACATCATAATGCTTCTGCTAAATTATACATCCAAGAACTGTGAGAGGAGGCGCTATGGAACTAAAAGAATACGAGCCCAGCAATTACCCGTAATATTCTTTTAGTCTTATTTTCTGTACTTTTTTACTCTAAGGGCAGTCATCACAGGACAAAGCCTACCATCACAGGGAGAATGGTTCAAGAGAATTCCTCTGTAGGTGTGTTTGTTGTTGCAGTGCAGCACACAGAACTGGCACAAGGGCACACACTGGGCTGAGGCATTGAGGAAACAGCTCAGCTCACACTTGCCTTTTGTTGAGTTTAAAACAATCATTGAAATTCCAGTCCTAAGAGTACTGGGGAAAATGCTGCAATTTAGGACAGCTGGACATCCCTAGTGCCACATGCGTCCCTGTGCTGCTGCAAAGCCTGGAAGGGGGACAGGCAGGAAAGGGAAGAATCAGCTCTGTGGCTGCTCTCAGCACTTGCAGGAGCTGACAGGTGTGTGTCTGTTGGGAGGTTTTTGTCTCTCAGCTGATCGCTGGGAATACCCACAGACAGACTCCAGATTCTAAGGACCTAATCTGCATTACACTGAGTATTTGTACCCATGCACCTTCCTTCCAGCAGCATCCCCGGGGAGAAACAGCAGCAGCCTGGGAATGCCTCCTGCCACATCCCCTGGCAATGAGGACTGGGCTGTTTTTCACACTCCAACCCCTAATATATCCCCAGAAATCCCTAGTTCTAAAAACACAGCTGGATACTGAAACACTAAAGCAATTTAGCCCTGCAACGCTGCCCTGAGGGAAGCTGGAAGAGGGAAGGCTGGTAAGGAGCTGTGCCCTGCAGGGGTCAGGGGCACAGACCCAGGAAAGAGTCTGCATTTAATGAATGTGGGAAAAACAATCACACAGGGCAAGAACAAAAACTAACTGGCAGGTCCAAACTTCCAACAAAGCACATGATACCTGAATTGCCACTCTGAAACAGCTCCTTGCATGAAGCTTTAGTCTGCATTCAAATTCTGGCTTGCCCTGATTCCCTTTTAACTGATTCTGTGGATGGAATAAAATCTGATTGACAAATGCCTGTAACCACACAAAGATCAGGAGGTGATCAGGGCATGGCTGGGCACTGGTGCTGCTCCCTGGCTGCTGTGCTGGTCAGCAGCACTCAGGGCCAGTGCCCACCAAAAGGCTTTCAGCCAACAGACCCCCACACTGCACTGCTACGTGCCAAGGTGGCCAGAGACCCCTTGGCACTCTCTTCCTCCTGCAGCCCTGAAGGATGCACAGGCAGAGAGATGCTTCAGAGCTACAGGGAAACCCCTGGCTTACCTGTCTAGTCCCACCTACCTGTTCCTAGCAGGTAATTCGAGCAGAGGCTAAGGCAAAGCTCTGTGTTCCCTTCAGCAGGAAGAAGAGAAGGCTCTGACTGCAGATCCTGGCAGGTAAGGAAGTACAAACCAGCTGTTAGTCATCTCTGGGGGCAAACACTAGGCTGTTGTTGAGCCAATACATGCTTTTTAAAAGAAAGTATTTAAAAGCTTAATGTTTTTTTTCCTGGATAATGCTCTGCACTGTAGAAAC